TGTCTCTCTCGGCTCCCCCTTCCTTTGAGCGCCCCCCGGCCGGGCCGCGCCCGCCTCCTTCGCGGCCACTCTGCCTCTTCCTTCCCTCCGTCCCTTTCTTCTCTCCCTTCTTCCTTCTTCCCTTCCTCGCCGCCGCCGCCGCCCAGGGCCGCCGTCCGGGGGACGAGCTCGGGGCAGCAGCCAGGTGAGGCGGCCGGGCCTGACGGGGCCCGCGCGGGTGCCGCGGCCACGGGGAGGTGGGCGGCGGGTGGGGCCTAGGCCTCGACGGGTCTGCGCGCCCGGCCTCCTTCCCCCGGGCCTTTCTCCCGCCCGCGGGGCCTTCCCGTAGGAGGCGGGTCCTCCAGCGCCCCCCGCTTCGGGGCGCCCTGCGGCCTGGACCCCCGGCGCCCGCATTCCCTCCACCCCATACTGGGGCCAGAAACAGGTGCTACAGCCGCTTTTCCTCATTCCGCATCGCGCGCGGGGTGCCGAAGTTATTCCCGCGGCGGGGGGTGGGGGAGACCCCGCTTCAAGTCCGCGAGAGATCCGCAGGACCTAAATCTCCTCAGCCCATGTCTGTAGCATAGTGGTTACAAATACAGCCCAGGTGTCCCAACACGGGGACAAATCCCGGCTCTGCCCCGCTTAGGTAAGTCTCTTAAACTCTTTGTGTCTTGGTTGGAAAAAGGAGCCTAATACCGTCCCTGCCTCTTAAGGCTGTTAAGGTTCAGTGAAATGGGGCGTGTAAAGCGCTTATCAGAGTGCCAGACCCATAGCGTGTCCCAGTAAACCGTCTGCATAATTTATTAGCGTGATATGAAGGTATAACTTAATGGGTAGAGTGCACAGAAGTTGACCTTCCTACCCGTTTGCGTTTCCTTAGAGGTAGAAATGTTCAGCCTGCCCACCGCCAGCGCGCGGGCATTGTTTTGGGTAGTTAACATCTGAAAGGGGCGTACGCTTAATTGGGACACTGTAGTAGGCAGTCTGTAAAAGATAGGTGCTTTTTCCATTTCCTCCGCTAGCCAACTGCGTGATATTCACCAGCTCCCGCAGTATGAACAACCTGTCCATTTTTTCTGCCATCATCCAGCTTGTTGTCATTCCATTTCTGGGAAAGTTGCTGGCAGAAGCTTCCCTTGAGTTCACAAACCTTTCTGGAGCACTTGCTGTGTGTCAGGCTCTGGAGGAGGGTGTACGAAGACGGAAGAATATGTCTATCTTTTCTTGCTCTACATCTCTAACTTCTGACTTTTTTTTCACTGCAGCTTTGCTTTTATTTCCTCCGTCCCTGTTGGCAGACTTTCCTTTTAAACCCTTGCTCTACCTCCGTGCTGCAGTATTGCTTGTGTGGAAGTTTTCTTCTCTTCTGACGAAGATGTGTGCTTCAGTCGGTTCTGCCACTGTTCTCTGGCTGTGGGGACGTTTTTAAGGTCACTCTTCCCTTCTGCTTGGAGGTTTAACTCTTTAGAGGGTGGTGGAATGAGAGTTAAACCAGGTTTTTGGTTGATTTTGGCCTTTGAGGAATCTGTGCTTATCAAATATAAATTACATTACTACTTGTTGAAGTAAAAACTAAAAATACAGTTGGAGTGTAGAGGCAGCAGTTTCCGCCATCCTGGTGACGTGAGATTTTTAGAACAGCAACTTTATTTAAGCATACTGAATTTCTTTTAATTCTGTACTTAGTTGTATAGTTGTACCCATCGTTAAGGAAGTGTAACTCATGGATGTTCTAATTTTCAAAAGAGTGAAAAGAAATGTGTTTGCTCTGCTGAGTGATCCTCCTATACTTTAGGATTGTTTTAGGCAGTAAATTTCCTTAGTGAACTCAAAGTTTTGATTTCCACTCATCTCTCAATAACACATGATGCACAATGGACTCCCTGTTTTTACATTTTCGTAGAATTTTCTGACAGAGTCTTATCATCATTTCTGGTTTGAAATCTTTGTTTGAATGGCTCTTCAAAAACACCTAAACAAGCATCTATACAAGCAATACAGAGCATGTCTTCTACTGCCGTATCACAGATTGTAGTAGTGCTAGGGAAGTGATGTTTTAATATTGCGATAGATAAAGTGTTTTTGTTCTTTTTTTTTTTTTTAACTTTTATGTTATGGGAAGTATACAAAAGTTGGGTAAAACAGAGAACCTTATGTATTGGCCACTCAACTTTGACAATTATTAACTCATAGCCAAGGTCATCTTGTTTCATGTTGTACCCCTCCCCCAAACTGGATTATTTTGAAACAAATCCTAAACATCATAGTACAAAAATAGCGATTTTGACTTTTACCAGATTGCCCCAGACTGTTAATCTGTCACAAAATTTAATTTTAGTAGAATCATAGTTCTAACTAATCTTGTTTGTTGGGCCTCTCATCTCTATTTATGCATGATTACTATACAGCAGGGGGGAAAAGAATCGGCAGATGAATTAGCTCCTGATTCAGTGCTTTCTCCTCAAAGTCACATTCAAAATATGGCCTTGCTTCTTTGTGTTCAAAGGCAACAGTTCTTGATCTATTAATTACTATAGTTGAAAAACAATTAGAAATACAGATTTCCCTAATCTTGTTTAGGTGGAAACCTACCTGTTAAGCCATTTTTAATAGAGAATAGCTTTGTGTCAAAGTTAAACTACAGTTAATAATTCATAATGAAAACTTTCAAAGTTTCTTTACAGTAGTTGTGTAAATGTACTGCTGTTACCTTAGGTTAAGAGTTAAACAAAAGATATTTGATTTCAAACACTTTGATGTAGAATTGTTTTCCAAAGTTCCCCCATCTGCTGTATTTACAAACAACAAATTTAGTAAGTATGAATGAAACTTTAATTTTTGTGAATAGAATGAAATCACAGTATAGGTGTTTCTATTTTTCTTGTCTAAAAGGAGGTCTCTCTTCGAACAGACGGATGTCGACAGGAATGTTATAAATGTTTGCCATTGTGACTTAATTTGGTTATGAACAGTTTGCTGCTTTTAGACCTGTAACATCATTATTTCAGTTCTGCAGGTTTTTACTTTTGAGCTTGATCAGGTACAGTGGAAATGTTATATGTTATGTTTTAGTTATTACAACCTAGGAGATGGAAAGGGATATAACTCTTAAAATTAATTTAGGGGGAAAAATTTACTATCTAGGAAAGGACACAAAATATATTTTTAAAATGCTTAGTGCTTCCCATTAGGTTTAAAGTAAAACTTTCAAGTATTTAGAATTGTTACTGTAAATGCAGTTTCTTCGGAATAGATTGCTCTCTTAAGATTCGGCCAGAAAGTCCATTTATGCAGATTATTTTAAGTTTAGAAATGAACTGACTCATGGAACTTTCCCCCCAATTCTGAAGTCTAAACCATTAATAAAATTCTGGGTGTAATCATTAACATGGGAGCAATATTGTGCTTCTTCATGCACAGTCTCTCTGCAATAAGACAATGCAGATACTTAACACAGGAGGCACAAAGTGAGCTCCAATTTGTAGGGCAACTTTCTTTGAGCCCTTTTACTGGATAGAGTGAGTGAAATTCACCAGCAAAAAGGTGAAACTTTCATGAAAAAGGTATCTTTTTGTGAGATGTTAATAAGTCAGATCCAGAGGCTTTGTTTTTAAGAGCCTCCAAACTGGATCATCTTATTTGATGTCATACTTAGTAATTCAGAATTGCTCAATTTGGGGAAATGTAAATTCCTCCTTCTCGTATGAAAGCTTTTGGGGTTGCTTTCTTTACTCTCAAAATGGGATCTTAGAGTCTTCAAAAATCTTTAGAGAATTTTGTGACAGATTTTTTTCATAGTAGACCTACAGTAGGTTGTTTTCAATTAACTTCTGGTGATGGAGACCTTTGTAGTTGAAATCCTGTGATATAATTTTCTTTTCTTTATTTTTTTTAAAGATGACCGATAAGGGAATCTTAACCCTTGACTTGGCGTTGTCAGCACCACACTCTCCCAAGTGGGCTAACCGGCCATCCCTGTATAGGGATCTGAATCGGTGGCCTTGGTGTTATCAGCACCACACTCTCCCAAGTGAGCCACGGGCAGTCCCCACTGTGGTATAATTTTCTACTTGAGCTTTTCTTTAAGTAAAACTTCATTGGAGTCAAGGCTATAGCATTTATGCTGTTCCAAAAAATATAAATTACAAGTTAGAGATTGAACTATGAGAAGACATGTTAGTTACTCTGGTTGTTTCCCCTCAACATTTTATTATTAAGAATTTCAAATATGTAAAAAAGTTTAAGGGAGTTTAGTGTACACTGCTATAAATACCAGCTACTTTAGAAATATTAACATTTTACTATACTTGCCTTGTCACGTGTTTATTCCATCAGTCCATCGCTCTAATTCATTAACTCATTTTATTTTTTGGTACATTTTAAGGGAATAGCAACATCAGCACACAAAATACTTGAGCATGCATATTTATTACAGTTAATTTTAAATTGAGATGATCAGTTCGCCAGTTAGTTCGTTTGGTTAGAGCTTGGTGTTATAACACCAAGGTCAAGTGTTTGGATCCCCATACTGGCCAACTGCCAAAAATAAATAAATAAATACAATGATAGATAGAGATAGCCCTACATGGTATTCCCAGATCTTTAAAAGCCAAGAGCTTTGTTGATTTTTACTTCCAATTTCGCTTTGACTCAAGAACTCTTTAAAGCGAATTGTTTAATAAACTTTTGCACCAAGGTACTCATCTATAAATCAAGTATTACAAAGCTTGAATAATGTTGACGAAATCCTTCATTCTCACATACTAAAAATAGGATTATAAATATGTCACTATGTTGATCTTATAAAATGCCACTGGATGGATGGCTTGTCTTGTTGACAATTTAATGCTCTGAATTAAAAAAAACCTTACTGCAAAGAAAATTATTTATTATTTTAAAAATGGTAAAATGGGAAATTACTGCAAATAGCTTAATTTATTTTTTAAATATTTGCATTTCCATACTAGTGAGTAAAGTTGATGTAAAAGTGGTTTATGTCACCAGATGAGTAGAGGTAGAAACAAGATCTCTGCAGACTGCTAATTATATTTTCTAGGATTACATATGTTCATTTACTTTGTTAGAGGAGTTTGTTCAGGGGACTCCCTCAAAGTATATTTACTGAAAATGAAAGTGGAAAAATCTATTCAAGAAAGTGTTTGCTTTCAATTAAAAATTAGTCTTTTAACTATTAAATCTATA